TTATTTACAAATGACTTAGCAAATCCAAGTAGGATTCGATAAGGTACATTTAATCTTTACAGCCATATGAAAACTTGCATATTTTCAAATAATATTAAGTGAAGGTCAAACACTAGACAATTACACTAAGCCTAGGGTTCAATCTCAGTCCTGGAGGTCAGGCGTCCTGCAAAGTTTAGAAAAATCTGCAGGACACGGGACCAACACAATTTGAAAACCCCTGGTCTAGGAGGTTTAAAATGGGCTACTTCTGAAAATGTGCTCGTTTTAACCCTGATGGAGCCATGATACTAGATTCTCCTGGAATTAAAAATCCTACTTGGATTAGAAAATGGCCACTTCTAAAAAAAGTTTCAGAATTAGTACAGTGTTAAAATAAAAAAAAAGAAACTAAGAGCTCACAATAATAATAATAATAATAATAATAATAATAATAATTATTATTATTATTATTATTATAATAATATTTTCAGCTAAAGATACCGATTTTCTATGGCAACGATCACAAAACATTTTCCTGGAGGTCTAATGTCCTGCAGATTTTAGCTCCAACCCTAATCAAACACACCTGAAAAAGGTAATCAAGGTCTTACGAAGTAAACTTGAAACACCCGCAGGTAGGTTGGAGGCAAGTTGGAGATGAACCCTGCAGGGCACCGGACCTCCAGGTATGAGATTGGTGACCACTGTTCTATAGCAATTCAGCAAGAAGTAACATTGGAATAAGGTTCCATCTGCTTTCTTAATGATAGAGATGTTGAGCTTCAAAGTTTTTGCATTCCATACAGCACAGCGTATGTGAAAGTCTTAATTTAAAGAACTTACATTATGGGGAGTTTTTTTTTTTTTTTAACAAGTTGTCATTTAATAAGAACCTCAATAACTAAATTGAAAAAAAAAATAAAAATCAAATTTAACATAATTCGAGCGTGACGAAGTTTGCATAGAACTCAAAAGCACAAAAGTTGTGGAAATTGTCAACAGCTTGTTTCAAAGTTGTTAATTTAGTAAATTAGAAGCACTTAAGATTAAGAATTTGGTTTGTCTATACATTCGTATAACAGTTTAAGGGAATAGAGGACGAAAGGAAAAAAAATAATAATAAATTGCACACCTGCTGTTGGCCCCAGCGCTACTTTGGCCCCTGACAGTGTGAGCAGCCCGCCCTCTCTCAGGTATTTGGTTGCTAGGTGAGTACAAATGGTGGAGGTCCACACATTCTCCTTCCACATCAGATCAGCATACTTGTACAGAGCTGAGAAAAAAATATTAGTTTCATATGGAGTCAAAAATCATGCAATAAAATCACTGTCACATAAGGTCTGAAAAACCTGCAAGACCAGAACTAACAGTTGGCTTTAGCGTTGCCCTCTGCTTGACCTCCTGCCACGCAGTAGATGGCATCAACTTTCTCATCACCCAACAGCTTACCAACACCCACTGTTACCTATGAGGGGGCAGAAGAGGGAATAAACGGCTACAAAAGTTACCTGAAACAGCATTGTGAGAAGTGCTTTAAATTAACTTTGTTTACTGTAGCTCTTTTTTTGCTTCTCCACAGTGACTTTATAGGCAGCGTTTCCCCAACTCTGTTTGAGGCACACCAGCTAAACGTTTGAGGTCTTTATCAATCTAACCCACTAATTTCAGGTTTTGGGATCGGTTAAATGTTCTGCCGAGTTGATTCAGGAGCATCAGATTAGTAAGAGGTTGAAATCTTGTACTGGTGTACCTTCAGGAACAGGGTTGAGAAACTCTTGTACAACGCATGCATCAAAACTCCATTTAATAATTGCTAAAATAAACCATTCCTTAAATCTTTAAATCAATAAATTATACCAACTAATTCACTACAATTAATTCATAGGGAAAGTTAATGTACAACATACCTTCACTGTAAAACCTATAAAGTAAAGCTAACTCAAACCACTTGAGTAAACCGCTTGCAAGAAACCACTTGTTAACAAATTTGAGTACTGTTAACTTACTCCATTTAAGTTGAAGTAAGGAGATATAAAACTAAATGACTTTGACAAAGTTAATTCTACTCATTTGAGGAGTTTTGAACTGTTAATGTGGTTAACTACACTCGTTTTGTTTGATAAACTTCACCGTTGGGTTTTACAGTGTGGAATTAAAATAAGCATTTATTTGGGGGGGGGGGGGGGGGGGGTTAGGGAGAGATGGTCCTATTCTTTTAGGCAGTGTACCTGTTTGGCTTGCTCAGTGAAGGATTCAGTCATCTTTACTTTAACATTTGCACTGGCTTCTTTGTTGACACTATGAGCAATAGAGGCAACCCACTGAGAAAAGGGGAAAAAAATAAAACAAAACATTTGGTCATCTTGCCATAACAGCATAAAATAAAATGCAATCAAATGTTTAAGTGAATAACACTGCTTACAGTAAATAAACTATCAAACTACCATCTGGTGGCACACTGCTAAGCAAACCTATTTCAATGAAGAGGTTTTGAGTTGATGCAACTTACCCAATTTTGGGCTCTGAAATAACGTACACTCTCTAGTCCCAGTGCTCCAGTTCCCCCATAAACAATCACTTTCTTTACTTCGCTGAAGGCCAGACTGGAATTCAGAACAATTACTGAAAAACAAAAACAATTGAAAACTCAAAAAAACACACATTAGTACAAAACTTAACCCACGAGAAACCCATTCAGATCTCAATTGTACAGCCAAACATTCAAATCATCTTCAGCTCAATAAGAAACTTTCAGCAAGACTGTCAAACACAGATCCTGGAGGACCACAGCCCTGAAGAGTTTAGTTCCAGCTCTGCTTTACCACAGCTACCTGCAGGTTTCTAACAAAACTTATAGATGCAATTAGTTTAAGCATGTTTAATTAGTGTTAAAGTAATTTGTGCAGAGCTGGAACTGAGTTTGATGCTTGTGACTTACAGGTAAGGAGAATACCAAAAGTAAACATGATTCTGACACAGATTGTCTTCAACACTGCAGAAAGAGCTTACTGTTTCATATTTATAGACCGCTGGTGTGAGTGTTATTGAGAGACACCTGTGCGCCACACCTGTGGAGGATTAACAGGTGAAGTCAGTGAAAGACCAGAGAAGACCATCGGACAGATGCATAAACTACCAGAACATGTAACTGGAACTTCTCTTATTATGGTTTAAATTCAATCAGAATGTGAATACTTGTGAATTGAATGAGAAATTACTGAATGACAGCTTGAATAAATGTATGTTTATTATTTTCTCACCTATTCAAGAACATACTAAATACGTTTTATCCAAGAAAATTACTTTTATATTCACAGATGTTTGGCAGCAGTGTATGAATATAGACATCCTCTAATGGTAAAATTGTGTTATATTTTTTATAATCATACCTCATAAAAACATTAAGAAACACTTTGATTAACATTCTCTCTTTGTACACACTAAAAACTTTGCTGGGTTCCACACAATTCCTTCACGTTGTCCAAACACAAAACGATTAATTCTGCAGTCACACTAGTCGTACAGTCGTACGGCGCAGTGAAAAGAGGTGGGAATAAACAAGATGATTAGACTTTTTAAAAAAAGCGAGCGATTGGTCATGTTTTGATCCTCAATTGATCTCAGACAGTTAAGTGATGGAATTTCACAGATCGGAGTTCACCAAGCTTGAACTTTGCGATGCAGCGAACTGTGAAACCTGTCGCAGGTGCTTGCGTTTTTGGTCTGACGCATTAGCATGTATATGAATAGAAGTTTATTGGGAGAGAAGTACAGTGTGACTGCAGCTTAAGTTGACAATCATTTTGCCCCACCCATTGTTGACTATCTCACTCTCTTTAGCTTAGACAGCCCTGAGTGAAAAGCAGTAGTCTACAGTTTTTTTTCCACACAGTACCTGCCAAAGATAATGTCAGCAACTAGAGGTAATACAAGTGTTGAGTTTTAGGATGCACAAATGAACACCGTAGTCTCCAGTCTACCTTCTTCACAGCCACTTCTTGCAACATTGTCAGATATTCTCAAACATAAGGTTAGTCCTGTTTTGATGCTATGCAAAGCTAATTATCATTCAAGTTCAGGATTCCTCATTTTAAGGTGAGATACACTTTAACCTCTGGATTGCTTGATTATTAGAAGTGCTATATAAAGAGATTATAGAATTATAGAATGCTATATAAAGAGAGAAATCAATGTCAGCTAAGTTACCATACATGGTTATTTTCAGTCACATTAATATGAATTATTTAAACCAGTGTAGCCATCAGTTTCTTTTGGAGGTGAACAATTTGTATTTAGTACCACTAGCTAGATAGGGCTGCTTTTTCTAAATATGTTGTGTGATATGTATGCAATTGATTATTTTAAACATGAGTAAAATCTTTAGTTTTTATACCAAAGCTCCTAATTAGGATTTATTCAATTTCAGTTTATATACATTTTCTTCACCAGATTCATTTGAAAAATAATTTTCACTAATAATTTTGTCATTAAAAGATAATTAGGCTTTGCAAAGTATTGAGATTATTATAAGGAAATTTAGATTTTTAATCACCTCTTTATATGTTGCTTAAAATGGAATAAAATTAAGATTACATGACTTTAAATTAAACATTTGTTCACAAACTTCAGTTTTTTCAGTTTGTGTATATATATATATATATATATATATATATATATATATATCAGATCTAGATCTTACTTGTCAAATACAAATCACTTTTGCAAGTGAAACACATTCATAAATATTTGCGCAACAACAGTTTGCATACAGTAAGTGCCTCCCACTTGTTAAGGGTCCAAAAGCATTTGGACAATTAGCTTTAAGCTGCTTCATGGACGGGTGTTTGTCACACCATTATCAATAATTCTTGTCAGATGACAATTTAGAAAAACCACCCATTTCAGATGTTTACCAAATATTTTAAGTCCTTAGATAAATGCTTAAAAAAAAAAAAAAAAAAGATTAAATCAAGCTGGTGAGTGATGTATGAGCAGGTTAGTAAAGACAGTACAAATAAGTTTAAAAAGAGTCTTTATTGGGAGACTGACAGCTGATTAATATGCTAAGGGCTTTTAATAGGGGTAGCCACTGTTCTGCCATTAGCGGTAACAAGCTCCACAAGACTGCCTGAAGCTGGTCTGCTTTCTCCAACAGTCCACTTAAAGAACAGCCTAGAATGGGAGAAAAGCATCATAGCTTTGTGCACACAAGTAAAACCAGACACTAATACACATACTTACTGAGTTACATGATTTAGTGGTGTCCAGGAACTGACATCAGCATTAGGCATGATCCTCCTATTTGTGGGGGTATCCAAAGTCACTCTAAATAATAAATGAAAACAGTAAATATTAGTCAATGATTCTGGACAAATGAGTGCACTCTGTATATTTGCATTCCTTACGGAAGGATTGCTAGAGCAACAGATCGCGGTGGAAGACCACTGTTTGGCCCACTGAGACTCTGGGTCAGCTGATGTACAGATGCCTTTGCCATTCCAAAACTAACAGATTCTAGAACAATGGGAGAGAGCAAACAGTCACATAAGAAAATCCTCCAACTTGTATGGTCAAGATTGAGAAAATTAATAGCAATTTTGGGATTCAGTGTAGCGGGATTATCAGAACAATTGAATGGCCTGTGTTTTATTACAAGAAATCAACTTGGCCCATCTTGGATAAGCAGAGTGTTGATGCATTTAACAAATATAAAAAAAATGGCATAATCTTTATTCATTTGATTAAGTGACTTAGCAAATCCAAGTAGCAGATTCTCGATGGAGGTACTTTTGATCTTTACAGCCATATAAAAAAATAAAAAATTGCATATTTATTTTCATAAAATATTAACACAAGTCGTCAAACACTAGAAAATTCAACTTAGTCTAGTGCAGGGGGTTCAATATCAATTCTGGAGGTCAGGTGTCTTAAAGTTCAGAAAAAAGTACACTTTCAGCTGAAGATACTGATGTTCAGTGGTAATTCAGTAAGTTTGCATAGAGCTCAAAAGCACAAAATTGTCAACAGCTGGTTTCAAAGTTGTTAACATTAGTAAAACATTTTAGATTAAAGACTTGGTTTGTCTATACATTCGTATAACATTAAGGAAGGGAGTAAGGAGAGGGGGGGGGGGGGGGCGTGAGAGAGAAAAAAAAAAAAAAAAAAAAAAAAAAAAACCCTTACACACCTGTTGTTGGCCCCAGTGCTACTTTGGCCCCAGACAGTGTGAGCAGCCCGCCCTCTCTCAGGTATTTGGTTGCTAGGTGAGTACAAATGGTGGAGGTCCACACATTCTCCTTCCACATCAGATCAGCATACTTGTACAGAGCTGAGAAAAAAAAATATTAGTTTCATATGGAGTCAAAAATCATGTAACAAAACCACTGTCACATAAGGTCAGAAAAACCTGCAAGACCAGTACTAACAGTTGGCTTTGGCATTGCCCTCTGCTTGACCTCCAGCCACGCAGTAGATGGCATCAACTTTCTCATCACCCAACAGCTTACCAACACCCACTGTTACCTATGAGGGGGCAGAAGAGGGAATAAACGGATACAAAAGTTACCTGAAACAGCATTAATGTGAAATGTGCTTTAAAATTAACTTCATTTACTGTAGCTCTTTGCTTCTCCATGGTGGCTTTTTACACAGCTCTCCCAACTGTTTCTGGAGGCACATCAGCAGAACATATTTGGGAGGTCTTTATTAAATCTAATCAGCCAATTTCACGGTTCGGGATCAGTTAAATGTTCTGCCAAGTTGATTTAGGAGCATCTGATTAGGAAGAGGTTGAAATCTTGTACTAGTGTGCCTTCAGAAACAGGGTTGGGAAACACTTGTACAACGCATGCTTCAAAACTCCATTTAATAATTGCTAAAAAAAAAAACCATTCCTTACAGTTTTAACAATCAATAAATTATACTAATTCTCACAACAATTAATTCATAGGGAGAACATTAATGTACAGCAAAACTTCTGTAAAACCCAAAATGTAGAGCAAACTCAAACTATTTGTGGAAACCGCTTGCAACAAACCATTTAACAAGTTTAAGTACTGTTAACTTACTTCATTTAAGTTGAAGTAATGATAAAACTCATTACCTTAAAAACCCAAATTCTAAACTCTTAGTAGTAGAATTCAATTGAGTTAACTACTCATTTCATTCGATAAACTTGACTGTTGGGTTTTACAGAGTAGAATTAAAATAAGCATGAAACTTAAGGGGTGGGGGAGAGATGGTTTTATTTTGCAGTGTACCTGTTTGGCTTGCTCAGTGAAGGATTCAGTCATCTTAACTTTAACATTTGCACTGGCTTCTGCGTTAATGCTATGAGCAATAGAGGCAACCCACTGAGCAGAGTAAAAAAAAAAAATAATAATAAAAAGATTGTCATAACAGCACATAAGAAAATAAAGTTAAATCAATGTTAAACGTGAAATGTATAACACTGCTTACAGTAAATAAACTCAAAATATACGTGCATCTGGTGGCACACTGCCAAGCAAGCTTATTTCATTGATGGTCTTTCTTCTGAGATAACTCACCCAGTTTTTGGCTCTGAAGTAGCGCACACTCTCTGAACCCAGTGCTCCATTTCCCCCATAAACAATCACTTTCTTTACTTCGCTGAAGGCCAGACTGGAATTCAGAACCATTACTGAAAAACAATTAAAATTTATAACACCTGTGCACCTTAGACAAAGTCACATCAGTTAAAAAAAATAAATAACCCATGAGAAAACATTCCAGATATCAAATGTGCAGCTAAACATTACATGCATCTCCTTCAGTTTAATAAGAAACTCTCAGCAGGGTTGTCAAACAGATCCTGGAGGACCACAGCCCTGAAATAGTTAGTTCCAGCTCTGCTTTAACACACTTACCTGCATGTCTCAAACAAATCCTAAGGACTCAATTAGTGTTGGCATGTTTAATTAGTGTTAAAGTAAATTTGTGCAGAACTGTAACTGAGTTTGAAGCATGTGACTTACAGGTAAGGAGAATGCCAAACGATAACATGATTCTGACACAGATTGTCTTCAACACTGCAGAAAGTGCTTACTGTTTCATATTTATAGACCGCTGGTGTGAGTGTTAATGAGGGACACCTGTGCGGCACACCAGCGGAGGATTAACAGGAGGCGAAATGACAGTGAAAGACCGAAGAAGACCATCGGACAGATGCATAAATGATAACCTGAATATTTAACTGGAACTTCTCTTATGATTCTTCAAATTCAATCAGAATGTGAATACTTGAGAATTAAATGAGAAATCACTGATTGACAGCTTGAATAAATGTATGTGTTATTATTAAAGCGTGCTCTTTTGATGGTTATCTTAAGAAAACTATTTCAAATAAACTTGAATAAATAAACAAAATATAAACTTTCTTTGTATTGGCTTAACAAACCCTTTGAGGGCAAACAGAATAAAATCTTCAAACTCAAATAGAATGTGAATAGGTGAGAATTGAATGAGAAATCACTGAATGACAGCTTGAATGTTTATTATTTTCTCACCCGTTCCAGAACATATTGAATACAACACTTTATTCAACAAAAAAATCACTTTTATATTCAGAGATGTTGGCAACAGTGCGTGAATATAGACATCCTCTGGTAAAATTGTTGTATTTTTACAATCCCACCTTATGAAAATCTTCAGAACCACTTTGACATTCTCTCTTTGTACACAGTAAAAAGGGGGGGGGGGTTTCAGACAATTCCTTCAGGCTGTCCAAACACAAATTGATTAAGGTGACAATCATTTTGTCCCACCGATTGGTGACGATCCACCAGATCAGATCACACACACATTCCACATAGAATGTCCAAGTTTTTTGTATATGGTGTACCTATTAAAAAAAAAAAAAAAAGGTGCAAAAGTGTCTGTGGGATTCTGTTCCCAGGATATCGGATATATCAGTGTTGAGTCTGAGCTCTGCATGCTGCAACGTACTTCTTGGTCAGGTATTAATCTCTACTCTTAAACGCATCTTTGGGTAATTGATGTTGTACATTTTTAAATTGGCTTATTTAATTACGAAATTGGCATCAAAAATCTTTGCCTGATAAATAAATGTAAAATTCTTGTTGAACTGAAATATCTCCAGAAATCTTTATAGGTTGTTTAGGCTGATGTTTCCGCTGCTTATGACCAGGATTGCTCATACCCTCAGGCTTAATGGATGGAGCATTGGCACAGCATTAAGCTGCAGTCACATTTGTGTGTGCGGAATTCTGTCATACGGCACTGCAAAGAGGGGCGGGATTAAACAAGGTTATTGGACATTTAAAAAAAAAAAAAAAAAAAAAAAAAAGTGAGCAATTGCTCCAGGTTTTAAATTTCTGTCCAAAGAGGTCATGTTTTGATCCTCGATTGGTCTCACGCAGTCACGCGATTTCGCAGGTCAGAGTTCACCAAGCATGAACTTTGCATAGCAGTGACCGGCGAAACTTAATGCATGACCCTGTGCTTCCGGTCTGACACATTCGCATGTCTAGAAGTCTATGGGGAGAAAAGTCAAGTGTGAACGCAGCTGTTGAAACCTGTTAATTTCTGACAAATCACTGACTTATAATCTAGATTCTAGTGGCTAAATCAAACTATTCTTATGCTCAAGCATGGAGCAGCCTAATATTAATTAAACAATATTAGTTTAGTTATATCCTCTATCTAAGAACTAGAACTGGCGAGGCTGTGTTCATGACCAGATGTAACTGGCCAGCATAACTGATTCTAAGCAAGTTTGGGTAAATGAACCATTAACTAAAAATAATTATTAGGTTAATCGATTTAAATTAGACTAAATCACAACCTATAAGGTGATTAGCTTGAATTAGATGCATCTAAATTTAAATTATTATAAATAGGAGTCAGAAGTTGGAAACAAATTTAAATATTTCTTTTAAAAAAAATTATAATAAAACATTAAACAAAAAGCCCCCATGTTCACACTGATTTGACCAAAGTGAATTGTCACCCACTTATATATGAAGGATTTTTAAACAAAGTTTTCAAAAGAATCTATTACCAAACTTTGGCAGCACCACGTGACAAGTGTAGATAAATCAGATCAGCGTTCTAGCACAGGTTGATAGTGATAAGGCAGAAGAGAAAGAATGATTAACAACTACATAAGCCAACTTATGCTAATTGTTCCTGTATACTACTACTACAAAAAAAAAATAATAATAATAATAATTTGAGTTTGCACTGACAGACAAGAACTTTAGTTTGTGATGGAAGACTTTTTTTTTTTTTTTTTTAATAAACCAGTCTGCACCACTGTTTTCAACCATATACCAGAGGGGGTAAACATTTAAATTTTATTTCATTTGTTTGTTAGGTGAAAATCTTTTCTGTACAAGCAGAGTTTACCAAAGAAAATTTGCAGTATGATTGAATAAAGCATGTGAGTGATGTGCGAGCAAACGAAGACAGCACAAAATTAATCACTTAAAACAGTCTTTATTGGGAGACTGACAGCTGATTAATATGTTAAACGCTTTTAATAGGGGTAGCTACTGTTTTGCCATTTGTAGTAACAAGCTCCACAAGACTACCTGACGGTGGTCTGCTTTTACCAACAGTCCACTTAAAGAACAGCCTAGAATGGGAAAAAAAATGCATCATATCTTTGTGCACACAGACAAACTCTAGACACTCTAATACACTTATACTTACTGGGTTACATGATTAAGCGGGGTCCAGGAACTGACATCAGCATTGGGCATGATCTTTCTATTTGTGGGTGTATCCAAAGTTACTCTAAAAGGTAGTAAATATTAGTCAAACAAGGATTCGGGACCAATGAGTTGACTCTGTATATTTGTATTTCTTACGGAAGGATTGCTAGAGCAACAGATCGTGGTGGAAGACCACTGTTTGGCCCACCGAGACTCCGGGTCAGCTGATGTACAGATGCCTTTGCCATTCCAAAACTAACAGATTCTAGAACAATAGAAGAGATCGAACCAAGTCATATCTTACAGAATTATTATTTTTATATATAAAAATTCATTAGACCTTGGCTGAACAGGATCAAGAACAAGTTAAGAGAAATTAAGTGGAATTAGCTGGACTATTTAGCAGCCTGTGTTTTTTTTTTTACAAAATCAACTGCACCCACCCACCTGAGGTAAACCGTAAAAGGGTGCACTGATCCATTTAACGAATATAAAACAGCATGTTTTATTACACAATATTTTGATTTAACCAATGATTTATGTCCAAGTAGGAAATTCTTAAGAGGTACATTTAATGGTTACACCTATATAAAGAGCTGCCTATTTATTCCCATACAATTTTAATATTTGCACTATAAAAATGTACATAATTTTGCTTAGCCATACAGCTTTTATGCTCGAACCCCAATCAGATATAACTGGACTGGCTAAACAAGCTCTAAGTTTTCTAGAAACATCCTTGCAGGTGTTAAGGCAAGTGGAGTTAAAATCTGCAGGACACTGGATCTCCAGGACAAAAAGTTTGAGAACCCCTGGCCTAGGTTTTACTTGACGGCATTTCTGAAAACGAGCTTATTTTAACCCTTCCTAAGCCATGGTACGTTGACTATAAAAAGGAAAAAGCCTAATTCCTTCTTAGAGATCATAATAAAATTAACAAAAAACAGCAACTCCATGTTCTTCCACACCTATACACAAAATGCAACTACAAGCTTTTTATAAATTAGAAAATTAATTGTTCATAAGCAGATGCTTACGGTCTAATCTAAGTCAATGATCTAATGTTAAGATGTACTCCCACCAGACCTGGTAATAACCTTTTATTATTATTATTATTATTATTATTTAAAAAGACGACATCTTAACCTTTAGAGCAGTTGTAAAAACATTTTAAACAGTGCTGAAATGAAAAGCTAAAGTTTACAAAATGTATTTCCAACTAAAGATATTTAATTACCATTGACCATCAGCAAGTTCTCAAGCTAAAGCACAAAACTGTCAACATGGTCAATTGTTTGTTTCAAACAAAAAAAGTTAAACTATTTGTAATAAAATGTTTTTACCCTAAACCATTTTACATTAATAACAAATTGGTTTGTCAATTATACATTTGCATTTCATTCCAGAAATGAAGGGAAGAAAATAAATGAAGTTTTACACCTGCTGTCGGCCCCAGTGCTACTTTGGCTCCAGTCAGTGTGAGCAGTCCCCCCACTCTCAGGTATCTGGTTGCTAGGTGAGTACAAATAGTGGAGGTCCACACATTTTGTTTCCACATCAGATCCGCATACTTGTACAGAGCTGAGAAAAAATAAAACCCCTCATACGGTCAAACAATCACATAACTGAAACTTCAGGACAATTATTGAACTAGATCTTGCATCCTTTTAACAGTGCAAAATACACAAAACACTTCAGAAAGCAACAAAGCTTCCAAGTGGTATCTTGCCATTGCAACAGATCATGTCTGAAAAATCTATGAGACCAGTACTAACATTTGGCTTTAGCATTGCCCTCTGCTTGACCTCCAGCCACGCAGAAGATGGCATCAACTTTCTCAACACCCAACAGCTTACCAACACCCACTGTTACCTATGAGGGGGCAGGGGGGGGGGGGGGAATAAACAGATACAAGTTACTTGAAACAACATTAATGTGAGGTGCTTAAATTAACTGGATTTACTATAGCCCTTTCTTTGCTTCTCCATGTTGGCTGTATACACAGTTTCCCCAACCCTGTTTGAGGCACACAAACAGAACATTTCAGATGTTTCTCTTAAATTAACAATGAGATTCTGAAGTGTCTTTTAATTTTCTGTTGAGTTGATTCAGGTATGCGTTATTAGGAAGGTGTATTTATTAAAAAAAAAAAAAAAAAAAAAAAAAAAAAAAAAGTTCTGTTAGTGTGCCTTCAGGAACAGGGTTGGGAAACACTGGTATAAAGCTGCGGTCACACTGCACTTTTTTCCCCCGATAGACTTAAATTTATACGCATGCAAATGCATCAGACCACAAACACAAATTCATGCGTCAAGTTTCGCAGTTCACTGTAGTGCATGGTTAAAGCTTGGTGAACTCTGACATGCAAAAATCATGTCTTGACTGCGCGAGGCTAATCGATGATCAAAACATGACCTCTCTGGGCAGGAATTTAAAACCTGGACCAATCGCTTGCCGTTTTAGATGTCTAGTCATCTTGTTTAATCCCGCCACCCTTTTCACAGCACTGTACGACAGAAATTCACAAGCACAAACCCTAGTGTGATCGTTGCTTCACATATGCTTGGATGTTCCATACACTGTAATTGCGGTTTCCTTAACTGCTCGAACATTACGGGGTAAAGAGTTTACAACCTTTTCTGTAGTCCAAATAAACATTTTGCCAAACATCAAACTGAAAATCATAAGCTCAGAGCATTACATGAAAGGTCTAGACAATCTTTCACCTAGCGTACTTTGGGGTATGCCATCATTACAGCCAACAAATGCATTGGCCAGCACTGCCATTGGTTAAATCACTAAGAATCTTATTTTGATGCCAATTTATTAATTTCAAATCTTAAATTATTTTAACAATAATATGTAGAAAGTTAATGCACAGCAAAACTTACATTAAGCATTACATTTAGAACAAAAACATCAGAACTTTTAATTTCTTTACATTCTTTGATTCTTAAAGCAGGTGCTTTTAAACTTATGGAAAAGAGCCCTAGTTTTAGCAAACTTCTGGGAACTGAATGAATGGAATTGGCTCTGATTAAAACATGCTTAAGTTAAAAAAAAAAAAAAAAAAAAAAAAAAAAAAAAGTCTTTTACACAGTGTACCTGTTTGGCTTGATCAGTGAAGGATTCAGTCATCTTAACTTTAACATTTGCATTGGCTTCTTTGTTGACTCTGACATCAACAGATACAACCCACTGAGGAAGGAAAAAAAAAAATCAAAATGGTCATTTTGACATAACAGGCCAGAAGATATTAATTAATCAATATTTAATGAGAAACGTATACGACTGGTGGTTAGTACAGTAAATAATTAACCATTATCAAAACATAAGCCTATGGTGTAGGCAAACTTATTTTCAATGAAGTAGTCTTTCTTCTGAATTAATCCAACTTACCCAATGTTTGGCTCTGAAGTAGCGCACACTCTCTGTGCCCAGTGCTCCTTTTCCCCCATAAACAATCACTTTCTTTACTTCCCTGGAAGCCAGGCTGTAATTCAGAACCATTACTG